TCAGATCATGTTTATTGAATTGTGATCATAATATAACAGTTTGTTTGTTTGTATGTATTGAATATAGGCTCCGAAACTACTGGATCGATTTGGCTGAAAATTAGTGGGGACGTAGCTTAGACCCAGGAGAAGGTTATAGGATACTTTTTATCCCGGTGCCATTAGGAAATTCAAGATGGCGGACACATAAACTTTCAACGTCAATAACTCCGTAACGACATATTTTTTATATGAAGTACTAACAATATTTTGGCTCACTCTAGGAGCCCTAACATTTACGAGATGACCTTTCCGGACACCCTGTACATAAATCGGAATTCAATCTATGTTAATTTTCTAACGTTTATTAAGTATAAGTACTTTCGATTACCGCAACGAAAATATCCTAGTCTCTAGCAACAACGGTTTATATGCTAAATGTCAATAGATGGAAATAGCGAAATACCTACTTAAATGCCAATAGCCTAAGAAGCCAGCTAGGTATCTCGTATCTAGAACACGCGTCTTCCGCGAAAGAGCAATGTTTAAATATAAATTATAAATAAATGATAAAATAGCTTATAGATCCGTAATTTCATGCTACACTGGATTTTTAATGCAATCCGTGACATTTCTGCGGTGAAATTCAATTTATTGATTTCCTCAGTCGAAATGATTTCATCACGTTCAGACATCAGTATAGCTACGTAAGTATAGGTAAGTCACCCAATACCCACCTCTCTTGGAAGTCTTGAGAGTTTCAGTTTCCTCTGGAGATAGGTCTTCAACTCCACATCCCATAACAGATGAAATCGAATGGGAATAGCAAAAAAATAGAGCAAGAATGAGATAATTGTTTTAACACGAGTTTTAACAAATTGTTTTTGGTAGATTTTGCACTTCAATGGCTCTTCATGCATCATGATTCATGTGGCTTATTTATTTATATTTCAGCATTATGTTTTCAAATTACCATTAGGCTTTATGACTGCGAAACTGGTCATCAGAGAGTGATATTAAATGGATATCAATTTCATCGGCTAAGACCAATAATTGATTTTGAACCAATCAAATCCTGGTAATTTTCGATCTGATATAAGATCGTATCTCGGATCGTATTAACCGATTTTCTAATCGAAAAGTCAAATTCATTCATATCCTACAATACACTAGGAAGAGATTATTGGACATAGCTCTCAGGAAGAGTTAGTCGCAGACACATGTTCGGGACAGTGAAAAAATTGGAAAAGATAGGCAGCACTTGGTGGAAGACGAAACAACAAATCGACGAAGTCAACAAACAGAACACTGGTCTCACGGTCTGACTTAACAAAATTAGTTGCCATAAAAGTTGGTTTGATCATTTATACCAAATTGAACAGCCTAAACATTCAGATACAGACATTTCTTAATTTTTGTGAAAAGAAAGTTTTATTTATACTTACATACCTACTATAAAACCAAATTTGTTTGTTATGTGCTTATTCGTGAGTATAGTCATAAATAATATCTTACGAAACGCTTTCTCCCAGTAATTTATAATTTTTAAAAAATTCTTGAAAAACGGGGAGTCGATATTATGTATCTTTGAGAAGAAAAAAAGAACTAGCCCATTTTTTAAATATTGTGTGGGGATTGTCTCAGCATAATTTAGCACATTTCATCCATCAGTTCCATCTGTGAACTTATAAATGAAGTACAAAAGGCGAAATGGAATACATTTTCATTGAAAAATATTATTTGCAAAGATATTGTTTAAATCATTGCAGAGATTAACAGTCAAACCAGAGCGTTTGCTTTCGACGGAGTCAGAAGCATGGACCGGAACAATAATCTCCGTAATATCTTTGATATAATCAAGGGTAATATTGACGGATGAATAATGATGAATTTTGAGTTGTTAATCATGGTAACTCAAAGTGTAATGGTGTAGTACATTTTTTTTTATCTCTTGGAGCGCACGAAAGAAAATTTCTATGATGCTCGAGGAACATCATACAACAAATTAATCAATTTATAGCTCCAATTCCTAAATATACAAGGTCTCTTGACGAAAACCTGAACCCTCTGTTATTGAAAGACCGTTTTTTTTAAGTTTACCAAGGACTATGAACTTTATTTTTTTAACGATTTCGAAAGTCAAACCATTTTTCACCTTATTATATTTCCCTAACATAGCAATTCCAACTTCAAAATCTCAAACGGAACACATCATTTTGAAGCCCTTTCCATTGCTAATACATCACTGGTGCATTGGATCGTTGTGTAGTAGATAAAAAGTTAATTATTGGTGGGTAATCGGTACACAAGTGTCGCTTTGACAACTATTTGTTTTTATTTAATAACTCTTATCAAATCTCAACCGATTCCAAAAATTAATGCAACAAATAAGGATCCGGCTGACTTGACTGTCAAAGATTCTCCGCCCAGAAACGGGGAAGACCACTGAGAGAAGAAATCCGTGCAAACCTCTTTCAATCGACGAATCATGATTTATGTTTGATGTACAATCAATATTATGTGTTAAAGTTGAAGGGTATCGAATCTATATCGTTTTGAAATCAGCATATTTCATTCGATATTTCAAACAGCCAAATATGATGGTGGAGTCGTGACGTATTAGTCCCGAACTGTAGCTATCTCTCTCGGATACCTCGTTATTCTGCAGTGTTGCAGTGTGATTGGTCAGTTCAAGGACAATAGGCGTGTTGGGAATAAGACGTTGCACCAGTCACACCAATGAATTGACAAAATTTCAAATGGCGTAGGAATTGTGTGTTTTGAAATGGACATATTCTAATTTATTTTTTCCATCGTCTTAGCATGAATGACAAAATTCAAAATCAATTCGCCGGTAGTTTTTCAGTATATAGTTCACGATAATGTCATTTTAAAAAATCAGTGGTCTCCCCATTGACGGGTCGTTGAGAATTCTAATAACAATTGTATCATTTGTTCTGCATGTCTTTGTGTTCGATTGGTCTCTAAATCTCCTTATTATTACTATCATAATTATTATTATTACTGCTGTCACTATTATTATTAGAGTGAGGGTTGCTGGGCTGTGTGCACGTGAATATATACCAAAGAAGGGAAGATTTGTATTTCGTGCAAAATAATTTATTCAATATTCGTAGCAGAGCGCTTTCGACTGTTAAGATGATGACTTAACAGTCGAAAGCGCTCTGCTACGAATATTGAATAAATTATTTTGCACGAAATACTATCATTATTGTCATTGTTGTTATTGATATTATCATTATTATTGACATTATTGTTATTGTTGTCATTATTATTATTGTCGTCATTGTTGTTATTATCATTAGTAACTAATGTGTTAACCTCTAATTTTTTCTTACACTTGATCGAAAATGCTACGAATTCTTTTTTGTTTTGTTCACGAAGATTGAGTTGAAAAACAGCTCTTTGCTGATACTCCGCCTATTCAGCATTTGCAGACAGGATATGGGATCTTTAATAGATTACTTATATTTTTCATTTTTTTATTTTCCTGCATATGATGAATAAATACTAGTTATTATTATTATTATTATTAATTCGGTTTTCTAAAAGTATTTCCAATATTGGAACCATCAGTAATAAAATGTTGTGTTGCAAAAAAATCGGTTCTCTAATAATTTCAGGGAGTTCAAATTTTGATTGAAACACCCTGTTTATATGTAAGCATATTGTGAACTATAGTTATAAATAAAAGAACCAAAGTAAGTGGGTAAAACTACGGAATCATACTACAGCAAAAAGTTAATAATTTTAAAAATTCCATGGATTGATATTTTCACATGAGTGATTTTGATTTTTGTGATGACTACGTCGTTGACTGATGTATCAATATTATAAAAGTTATAACGTAGGAACACCTACGCATATGATGTAGGTGACCTACTTTTGGTAGCCCAAAGCCGAAAAGGAAAAGTCCATGACAAACACAAGACAGTTGATAAACAATGGAATGACACACGTGATTATAATGTATCTAGATCACACTTCAATGTTCCTCCTGCTTACGATCCACTATGTTTTTATCACCATCAATATCAATTTATTCTGCACTTCCTATACAGGGTGTTTCCTAACTACGGTTCCTAACTGCAGGTGGTGATTTGTTAGGTCATTTTAAGAAGAAAAGTTTCTATGAACATATGGCCGGAGTTGCTTCGTTTCTGAGATACAGGGCGTTGAAATTAAAGAAAAAAAAAACGGTAATTATGAATTATCATGAATATCCTGGAACCGATTTGGTTGAAATTCAGTACTTTTATTTGAACTAATAAGGCGCTTATTTAGCACTATTCAGATTGGAATTATTGGGGCCAGTGGCGTCTCAGTGGGCACCAGAGCCAACAATATCCTGAAAAAAAGTACGCCACTGACTTTTTTGGTAAATTTTAATTTTTTTTTAGATTAAACAACTCAAAATACAACTTTTTGGTCTCCTGTATTTTCTTCATATCCAGCTTCGGTTTCGAGAAAAAATATTATATCCACTGTATTGCATATCATGAACACCTGCATTGGAGAAATGAGTTTGTCATTATTTCTGCAAAAATATAATTGACACTTGATATGCGAAAATTTCAAAAAATTTGACGAATAAAAGTACCAAATTCCAACCAAATCGGTTCCAGGATATTCATGATATTTTATAATTACCGTTTTTTTTTTCTTCAAGTTCAACGCCCTGTATCTCAGAAACGAAGCAACTCCGGACATATGTTCATAGGAACTTTTTTTCTTAAAATGACCTAACAAATCACCCCCTGCAGTTAGGAACCGTAGTTAGGAAACACTCTGTATATCATAGATATTTTTTATTTTCTATCGATCTCTTCATGAAAATATTGATCTTAAAAATCTCGAATCAAAGTTCCTGAATTAACAGGAAGCATAAGATGTGGTCATTTCCATTATTTTACAAGATTATTCAAATAATATACAGGGTATGTACGAAAAGTAGGTTAGTAGTATTATATATAGCTCATCCTGAAAATTGAAAATCTTACCTTGGAATCCCAAGAGCCTTTCCTATTTCCCTTTCTCTCAGTCGAAATGGTCATCATTACTCTCACTTGTTGAATAAGCAGTTCCTCATTTGTGCTTAACTATAAATGAAAATACTGAAAATTTGTCTGCACGTTCAGCATGACGCGAACTCTTTCATTAAATTAAACCCCACTGTCACTAAAAAATCACTACGTTAGTTTAGGTGCACAATTGATATTCGACACTATAGAGTTACTTTTCTTCAGTGGAACAACTTCTTCATCGATATCTTGATTGATTCTGAATGGCTGCGATGCAATAAAAGACTTCTCATGCTATTGCTGTTTTCACTTTGGTGTCAGATCCATCGGATGCTACTTTCTCCTGTAAATAAAGATCGTATCTTAAATGACTATAATGATATCAACTCGAATTGTTGTTGTTAGATGAAGAATTATTGCTTTTGCTACACCTCTTGCATATGTTGAGTGCAACTGGAAATTATGGATGGTATGATCATTGTGTAGAGAGGTGTTTTGTGTGTTAAGACAATGAGAGCCATGTATTTATCATATACGTATTAATAAACAATACGGATCATAACGGGTGCCAGGATGAAGCCAAAAATATGAAACAAATGAATATCCATAAGGATTTGGTGGCATGATACGTAGTCATCAAAGACATGCGTTTCGGTGGACAATGACGTTTACTAGCCTTTCAATCAAAGCAGTATGTGTCTGATCGTATCTCACTTTTCCTTATGGATAGTCATTTGTCTTCAAAAATCGGCTTCATGTTTCGCTATGGAAACAGATAGAGATTATCCGTATTGATTATTAATACGTATATGGTATTTATCGATCAATAGGTATTAGTTATTTAGATTTTAGACACTATGGTAGTGAAGATAACCATACAATATTTTTGTCTACTACTGCTATGAAAAGTAACGCATTTCTCATAGCTTCCTTAGTTTCAAAACCATGTATTGCCCATACTGTGAGAAATATTTTTTTCTCACGGCACTTTGCCAACACCACATACATTTCCATGGAGAATCGACAAAAATCGACCAAAACTTGGCTGCTGTTCAGCTTTGAATAGTTGTCACAACTGTCAGAAGCAGTTTTTTAAATTCTTCAGGGTAGTTCTCATTAGTGCTTTTGATTGAAATCGCTTTTTCCATTAAATATTGTTCCAACAATTCATAATAAGTAATATGATGTATATACCGTGATATGTGACGATTTTGATAAATACACCGCCAGAGACAGAGATAATGGAAAAAGCTGCGAAAGTCGGATTTGTTTCCGGAAATTTCAAGGAAAAAATATTATATACAAAGAATTTATGGAATCCAAAAAAATACAGGAATTAAATCTTTTTCAGAAAGTATACTCTTTTGAAATACTTTGTGGAACTAGGAAAGACGTCTACTCTTTGGTCACAATATTCAATGTGGCAATACCAATAAGTTACTTTATTTGGATTCTTTGAATAATGAGTGCAGTTGTAGAAAAAGTATAGTGTGCAACATGTGGGGAAGAGCACTTTTCTCACTCGTGCGTTTGCATTACTCGCCCTTCAGGCTCGTGTCACAAACTTTCGCACTCGTGAGAAAAGTTGAACTTTTCCCACTTGTTGCACAATATACTATTTTTACGCCTTTAACACAAGATTTCTCTTGTTTTACTGTGTTCGAAATATCAATGAGGTACTTTGTATGTCATCAATTTTATTTCCGTATCTGATAGCACAAAGACTCCATTGTATTATTATCTCTCTGTCTAATAGATGAGCATTACTTGACCGCTGTTATCTATTAAACTCGTAGAAATAAGACTTTTTCTTCATGTAAAAGTGAGGACCCTCCTCCAATACTCCCTCTCCAAAACTAGGTTTACATAATTTTTTAGGAAAGAATGGTATAAAGTGTCTAAAAGGACTGAGGCCTGCCAATTTTCAGAAGATTTCAGAGATCCGTTTTTTAGTCATACAATTTCAGGACACATGTTTATATAAAGAAAGTCTTATTTTGATCCCAACAATATGTCCTTGAAATATTTACATTGAATTTTGAATTACCCTGTATACCCAGTATAATAATTGAAAATATATTATGAAGCATTACAAAATTGTCGCAAAAAGAATTATGTTAATACTACCTATATTTCTGATGACGTCATATGGCTGTTCGAGTTATGACGTCATTATCATTTTTTATGACAATATCATATTCTGATAATACCTTTAGAAAGAACGCATTTTCCTGAGTATGAATATGTCATATTTTTTATTTATTTCTTCTTAATCTTCGAGAAATAATAGAGATTCCACTCATAAAAAATTAATTTATAGTGATTACGTCATCAGAAATATGAGTAGACCAAGAAATGAGTTTCTGAAGAAGACATCAATCGACGTGTCTAAGTTGTTTCCCCAATATATGGCCATATCTAGCTTTCAACGAATTTGTTTCAAACTTTATATGCTCACTGTATATAGATTATGGTCAAATGTAAAAACTTCCCAAACGATCAGATTTCCACAAAATTCTTCGCTAAGAACAGTAGCTTCATAAATACTGGTACAATGAAATAAAACTCAATATATTTCAATTATATGCACATTTAAAATGAATTTACGAATTTGTAGATTTCATCAAAATGACGTGGGCATTCATTTAAATTACTCGCATAAATTTTTGCAACTGTGTCTGTTTTTCATTTTATTGTTCAAGAAGATATTGAGATGCGTGGCTGAAAATCGGAGCACAGTTTACCTACTCATAACCTAAAAGTCAGTGATTCTGAAAAATATGCCCAATTAGCACATCTATGTGAACGAACTGAATTTTTATACTCGTTCCGCAACTGTTACTCTCAATCAGTGAACATTGTAAATTTGTTAAACAGCGTGAGAATTGGTTGAGAAATGAGGTGTTAGACAAAATGAACCATAAAACAATAAGATGATTCAATTAAAGTAGGTTGGTATTATACGGTAATAGGTATAATAATTCTCTTTTTTCTGTGACGGGAAAAAAGCTTGGCATTTCATCTCTGTTGGCAGGTTATAAAATGTCACTTTTCATAAATTCCTTTTTTCCCGGATATATATCACATATATATACAATGTTGATGGCTTTTGTTGTGCTATAGTTCCGAAAAACGAGTCGATAATACCGTCTCCGAGAAAGAACTGCAAGTCCTTGTATCTTCCATTCGACTTCGCGGTTACGTATATTACTTAACAGCCATAAAATTCGCAATTTTTGAAATCAAATCACAGAATTAGACTGACAGAAGTGACATCAGATATTTGATTACTTCAAAAGAATGATAATGATGCCTACAACGCAGGTGTCCCTACTGTTAAAAACTTGAAATTTCACGTCGATAATTCTCAGATTTCAAAACAATGAAATATCTTCTCAATATTGATTCGTAATTCCTTCTGTCACAGAAAAAAATAGTGTATTATACACGGGAAAAATATTAGATTTTAGCTCACGGTTTTTTGTCTTTTGACAACACAACCTCTGGAGCTAAAATCTACTACTTTTTCCCCTTGTATAATAAATAACTATTTTTTCTGAACCGATTTGAAAAAGTAGCCTCTGACACTGTCAAATCTCAACACAACATTTACTTTTTCCATAAAATGTCATTATTTGATAACTTCAACTCAACTCCAACTCCTCGAAATTATCCTCATATATACGAATATACATGTAGACAAAAAGAAAAATTCAATACAGACGGACGTACTGTCAATATATCAAGACAGTTGCTGTTCTCATACCGATTTGGTCTTTGGTCGTAGAAAATTTATTTTTTCGAGGGACATACTGTAGATTGCGGAAGATTACAATTTCGTAGCGCAGAAAAGGGATTCCTGGGATTCTCTATACATATATATACCCAGGATTATCTAGACATGCCTTTATGTCTGAGACGTAAAAAAACGTAGTTCCTTCTTTTGAACGAAGCTTCTTGAGCAAATGTGGACTGCCTTACAGGTCAGAGGGTTATCTTTTATTCGTAAATCGATTTTCACTATTGAGAAAAGTGTTGAATGATCTAGCCTTCAATTCCTTGAATATTATTTCTTGATTTTATCCTTATTATTTTTAAAATTTATAAAAGTGAATATAATATTCATACATAATCAGTTATGTCACTGCGTCAATTAATTCAAAAATCCAAGAACTTGGAATGGGAATAGAGATGATATAAGAATGTCACAAAAGTATCGGCCGGAGATGATTCCGCACGATTCGCTATGTTGCGTTTGAAGTAACAGTCCTGCTCCTAAGGTGGCATATGGGGTTAGTAACAAAGCCTACACAGAACACACATGGGTCGATGGCCAGTTGGTATGTATATATATACCAACGAAGTACTACTACTGGTAAAAATATTAGAAGAAGGGAGGTGTAATCATATACATATTTGAGTATTCAAGTCAGTTCGGATTTCGAAATATTTGAGCGCCCACACACTGGCAAACATCAACGCGTCATATACAGGGAGTATCTAAATAACACCAGAATGAAACAAATAAAACGCTACTATGACTGATCAGCCGTTACTTCTCGTTACACTCCGGCCTGCATAGTTGTTCTCTACTCTGCGACCCATTTAACCACTTCTAACGGTACAAACATTGTTTGTCCCACTTCTGCGGCTGATCGAGACTGGGTGCTGAAATTACACGAGTGAAATTATAATGATTAGGTATGCTTCTCCGATTGTCTCCATCGGACACAATACAAGAAGTTACAGATATATAATTAATTTGCCGCTCTGGTTGACTTTTAACGGCTATTGATGGATTCTTTTTTCATTAAGTAGTTCGATAAAAAAAAACAGTTTCATTGAGGTGTTATTTTATATATCAAGGGAGCAAAGGTATCAATTTCCTCCCAAGATATATACAGTATGTCCCATCTAAAACTTGTCACCCCCAAATCTCTGATGTCGTTAAAAAAATTTACTCGGACAGGTCGATTTCAATTTGGCGGGGGAAATCTTGAAGCGTAACGGGCATCAACTCTCGATTTTCAATTGGAGCACCTTGTATTTCATTGCATTTTTTTATTCTCCCTGGCTAGCCCAATCTTTCAGTTACTCGTCAGAGCAATATGAGACTCCAAATACTCCAGAATCTAGGTTGAAGATCTGATGATAATTGGAATTGAAGTAATGTAAAATTGCAACGGTATCGTTACGTTCCCGTTTGAGAGAATATTTTTTTTGTTAGTTTATTTCCGACCATAATCATGAAGCTTGATGCTTTTTCCTGAAAAAAATTCGAAATTGTTTCGAGAGGAGTATTTTCACTGCTGTTCAAGATGGAAGAATGAAAAAAACAAGTGA